CATATTTCAGTTTGCTTTGATATCGCTGCGAGTTATAAATGGAATTTGCAAATTTTATGAGTGTTAAAATCTCCATCATGAAACGTTAAAATGAAACAAGTGTGAAACAAATACTGATTAATGAGCATGTAATGCATGTATATTGGTAGATAAAAGAATGTACTTATTTCCATTATCTAATAGACACTGTTATTGTAAATGTCCAGAATGAAAATAAAAAATAAACTAGATAAATGTGATATATGTAATGTGACCTTTACATTGAAAAATCATTTCTAGGATTATATGCATATCCTCATGAAAATCACATGCATGAGATGTATGTAAGAAGTCATATATGTATGGGAGTTAAGCTTATGGACGCTGGAAAGAAACCTCATGTGATGTATGTAATGCCTCGTTGACACTAAAAAAGCCATATGCATGTGATATATATAACAAGTCATTCAAAGATACCAATGTATTAACAAAAGAAGCTGTTTCATACTGTACAAATAAATAACTTCTCTGTGCAGATGATTTACAGGTGGAGGTAAAATGCATAAAAGATAAGATATATGGATAAATAAACAGCGATTATGCTATGTGCAAATGGCTGTATGAATTCTGTAAAATGCTTTGCAAAAGCACTTATGCAACATATACCATGTGCATAGTTATTTGTGCCAAAGCATTTCTACTGAAATCTATATTAAAGGAGATGTTCATATTCACATTGAAAAAACATATGCTTGTGGTATATGTAGGAAGTTTTTTGTGTTAAAAAATAATCTTAAGAGACATGCTCACTCTTACTAGTGAAAAACCCTGTTCTGGAGAGAAACCTTACCCATGTGATATGAGCAATGTATCATTTGCACAAAAAAGACAGTTAAATGTTCATATGCTCAACCATACTGAAGAGAAACTACATGCATGTGTTGTATGTAAAGCATCATTTACACGAAAAAGTAAATTAAAAATTCATATGCGTATCCACACTGGAGAGAAACCGTATGCATGTGATATGTGCAATGTATCATTTGCACGAAAAAATCAGTTGAATGTTCATATGCTGAACCACTCTAAAAAGAAATTACATACATGTATTGTATGTAATGCATCATTTAAACCGAAAAGTATGTTAAAATTTCACATGCGTATCCATACTGGAGAGAAACCGTATGCTTGTGATCTGTGCAATGTATCATTGCAAACAAAACAGTTTAAAGCTCATGTGTTAACCACCTGGAGAACTACTGCATGTGTTGTTGCAGAGCATTTTACACGAAACGTGAATAAAAATTCATATGTATCCCACTGGCAGAACGAGCTGTGATCTGGCATGTATCCTTTGCACAAAAGTCAGTTAAATATTCATGCTAACACGAAAGATAACTACATGCTATTGTTGTGATGCATCATTTAACAGAAGTAGTTAAAATTTCATATCTATCCCATGGAGAGAAACGTATGCTTTGGCTGTGCAATGTATCTTTGCACAAAAAGACAGTTAATGCTCATATGCTGACCACACTAGAGCAACTACTACGTGTGTTGTATGTAAAGCATCATTTACACGAAAAAGTAAATTAAAAATTCATATGCGTATCCACACTGGAGAGAAACCGTATGCATGTGATCTGTGCAATGTATCCTTTGCACGAAAAAGTCAGTTAAATATTCATGTGATCAACCACACTAAAGAGAAACTACATGCATGCGTTGTATGTGATGCATCATTTAAACAGAAAAGTAGGTTAAAATTTCACATGCGTATCCATACTGGAGAGAAACCGTATGCTTGATCTGTGCAATTATCATTGCACAAAAAACAGTTAATGCTCATTGCTTACCACACTGAAGAGAACTACATGCATGTGTTGTAGCAAGCTCATTTCACGAAAAATAAATTAAAAATCATATGCGTATCCACACGGAGAGAACCGTATCATGTGATTTGTTCATGTATCCTTTGCACAAAAAAGTCAGTTAAATATTCATGTGCTTAACCACAGTAAAGAGAAACTACATGCATGCGTTGTATGTGATTCATCATTTAAACAGAAAAGTAGGTTAAAATTTCATATGCGTATCCACACTGGAGAGAAACCGTATGCTTGTGATCTGTGCAATGTATCATTTGCACAAAAAAGACAGTTAAATGTTCATATGCTTAACCACACTGAAGAGGAACAACATGAATGTGTTGTATGTAATGCATCATTTAAACAGAAAAGTAGGTTAAGGATTCATATGCGTATCCACACTGGAGAGAAACTGTATGCATGTGGTCTGTGCAATGTATCATTTGCACAAAAAAGTCAGTTAAATGTTCATATGCTCAACCACAAAGAGAAACTACATGTATGTGTTGTATGTACTGCATCTTTTAAACAGATAGGTGGCTTAAAGCTTCATATGCGTATCCACACTGGAGAGAAACCATACACTTGTGATTTATGTACAAAATCCTTTACATGCAATGGTCAATTAAAGTTGCATATGCTTACTCACACTGGAGAGAAATCACATGCATGTAATGTATGTAGCATGTCCTTTGCATCTAAAACTCAGCTTAGCACACATATGTATGTCCATACTGGAGAAAAACCTCATAAATGTGATATATGTAATGCACAGTTTGCACTGAAAAAGTATTTAATGGGTCATATGCGTATCCACACAGGTGAGAAACCATATGAATGTGATGTATGTAGAAAAACATTTGCAAATTCTACTGGGCTAAGACATCATAAGCTATCTCACACAGGGAGAAAAAAATCACATCCATGTAATATTTGTAACAAGTCATTTGGGTCTAACCATTATTTAAAACTCCATATGCGTATTCACACTGGTGAGAAACCATATGCTTGTGATACATGTTCCAAGCCATTTTCATTAAAAGATAATCTTAAGAGACATATGCTTATCCATGCTACTGAGAAGCCACATGTGTGTGATACATGTAACAAATCATTTGCAAGCAAATATCAACTAAACACTCATATACTTGTTCATAGTAAGCAGAAACCATATGCATGTGCAATATGCAGCAAGTCATTTACATTCAAACAATATTTGAATGTTCACATGATTTCTCATACAGGGGAAAAAAACTATAAATGTGAGATATGTAGCAAGTTGTTTGGACACAGAGCAGCCTTGAGAACACATATGCTTGTCCATACCGGTGTAAAGGCTCATGAATGTGATATTTGTAATAAGAGATTTACCCTTAATGCTCATTTAGTGAGACACAGGCGTGTTCATACTGGTGAGAAACCATATGTATGTGTTGTATGCAGCAAGTCATTCGCAGATAAACCTCATTTAAAGGAACATTTGATCTGCCATACTGGAGAAAAGCCACATGTGTGTGATATATGTAGTAAGTCATTTGTAATTAAAACTGCTTTAAAGAGGCATATGCTCGTCCACACAGATAAGAAATCTTGTCCTTAATCAACTTGTATTAAGCTTTCTGTCAAATTATTTCATCTGAGCCAAAATCGCTTTGTCCAGTAATAGAGCTATTTTTCATGTAAGCCCTGATGATTTTCCCTTCACGTGTAAGAAATTTAACCTTCTGAATGGGGAATCATCTTCTTCATGAATAGATTTAAAAAGCAGTGAATGGTACCACTTTTTGAATCAATTCATGAAGACTTGTATTTAAAATGCATTTACTAGCTAAATTTGTATAATTATGTATTTTAGTCTCCGTTTTCATAAACTTACATTCAAAGATGACATATATATCATTAAAAAAGGAAAATATTTTAAATAGTAAGTTAATACATACCAAGTGGCAGAAAATTTAATGATCTAATGTTACAGCATTATGAAATATTGTTCATAAATTTCTGAAACATTAAAACAAGCAAATAATATTAAAATAAACAATAAGGTCAATTCTTACTTAGGTCAACAATGTAAAATTGTATTTTAGTTACTTTTTATTTAACATTTTTTTGTTTCTAATGTATGAAGCTGATGGTGGTCTATACTTTCTCATTCTATCCATCTCTTGTAATGCTTCGATATTGCAAGGAACCTTTTCAGCGAGTTTCGAGCAGTCCAGTTCTTTTAATCGTCTAATTCGGTCTAATTGTCACTTGTGTTGCAGTTTCTTTTCGCATTCTCTTTTTGTGAAGCAAGGGACATTTTAAAGCGTTATATTTTAAACATATATTATAATCATGTTAACATAGAAATATGGGGAGAATCTTTGCTACATAATAGGACATTACATCCGCTTAATCCAACTCTATGAAACTATAATTCTTTGTACACTTTAAAACTCTTTAGAACTCTGTCTTGCTGTTTCCACTTATTTTTGATAAATATTACAATCCCATTTATCACACTCATGTACTATTATTTATAAATTGTTATAAAATTAATTTTTACAACTTCTGACCTTCACAAGTGAGAGTTCCTAATAAACGGTAATTATTTGTAAGTCTCTTGTCTGTTTTTCAGATCTGCATGCTGTTCAGGGCTTCTGCCCTTTTTAGTAATGTTAGGGTAATGTAGATCCTTTTTTTAGTTATGCAGATCATTAACTAAGTCGGAGAAATATCCTGTGAATTCAGTTCTGATTACGCATTATTTTGTGTGAGGGAAATAAGAGATCATGAGATATGTCATGTGACATTTATGGACGAATCACAGTTCTTTAATCGGAAAAGGGGGTAAATTTGTAAAAATATCTGCCGTACTTTATAGCATTTCATTCTATGTTCTGTGAAAACAGTGTTGCTAATATTTGGATCCATGGCCCTATGTAAAGTAAATCCAAATTTTTATTGCGTTATGTGTAATCCAAAAGAATTGCTGATGGTGTTGAGTGTAGGATTAATTGCGGATAAGTATGAATGCCAACATGTGGGAATGAAATGAGATTGTATGAAAGGAAGGATATTACAGATAAGTTTGAATGGCGGTGCAAGAAATTGGTGAAAATGGACATTTTGTGAAAGGAGAGTGTAAGGAAGGGTACGTGTTTGCTGAAAGTCATTTGAGTATGGGTGAAAATTTTATTAATTTTTTATAATGGGTGAATAGACTGCCAGTTGATACTGGATATTGAATCTATAACAAAAGTTATCCGCCATGCAATCAAAGATTGTGAAGAAGATTAGGTAAGTTAGTTATTTTAATCATTTGAGGATATTATTTTTATGCTGTAAGGAATAAATAAATTAATATGGTATTATTGGGAAATTGTTATTAGCAATGAATAGTTTTAAAGTAATTAGGATTGTAAGCCAATTTTTATTAATTTAATGTATGGCTTAATATATTTTAAGTAGTGTTTTTTAATTTAATTATATTTTAATTTATGATCGTGATTTAGTGAGTTATATGTTTGTAGTATTTGGAAATAGTTTGAGTAGAAGTTAAATGTGCATGGAAAGAATTTAAAAATTTTGACACTAAGTATTTGGAACCATTTTTAATGTTTGCATTATAAATTTGCAGGTGACGTTTATAATAGATACAGTCAAAAGTCGTTAATCCGGACTTCGGCGATTCCGGATTATCGATTTTTCCGGATTATAGATCATCAGTTTAAATCTCGTAAGATGGCATGCAGAAATTCTAAAATTTTATTAAACATTTCTTTCAATTCAAGTTGTTTTAAGTTGCTTCGTTTTATGTGATAATACTTTCTCTTTCATTCTATAAACAGACACAATTTCTTGTTTAGTTACAAAGTTCGCTGTTCAGTCCCGTTAATTGTTGTTGTGCCGAGAATACCGACTAACTGTCAATCGAAATTTTTTCGTTTTCACTAACCTCTCTGTCACATTCTTCATGTCTTTATCCATTTTTTGCAGCAATTCCACTTTTTGTTTGTTGGACATCGAAACATACTTTGGAAGTTCCAGCATCGGAAATTCTATTTGACATAATCGAAAGTTCAAGTTTACTTTTATAAAATTGCTGTTACAGTCTGCAAAAAATAATAAGCCGGATCCAATTAGAAGATTAAGGAACAACACAATCATTAACATTAACTGAAATAGATAATTAGATAATTTTAGATTACATCGTCCATTATACATTAAACACGCAGGCGAAAACGTATTCTGCACTTGCGCACACGCATATGCGCAGTAGTCAAGGTCTTACGTGCACGCGTAAAACGCCTGTGTGCATGTGCAAACGCGGCGATGCGCAGAAAGTTTTTAGCTTTGAGGTCCAGATTAAGATCATTCCGGATTATGGGTGTCCGAATTAAAATTAACGACTTTTGACTGTAACTTAGAGAGAAAAGTTTTTGGATATTTTATTATTTTATACGTGCAAATGTTCATCCTTGGAAAGAGTATATACTTTCTTTACGATCAGGTAATTTCATATATGTCCCTTTTACCGAATTTAAAGATTCACAAAATTTTCCTTCGTTTTCGTGAAATTTTTCTAATTTATGAGAAAAAAGCAGTGTACATGGATATAATGAAGAGTGTGCGCAATGCCATTTTTGTGCAATTCTGGGATTTTCTTTTAAAGTAAAAATAAGTCAACGTGTACATGGTTTAATTATATTTTAATTAAATGATAGTTAATTTGTGAATTATATGTTTGTAGCAATTTGGAATATGTTTCAGTGGAAGTAAACATGCATGGAAATAATTTAAATATTTGACACTAAGTATTTGCTACCATTTTTAATGTTTGCGTTATAAATTCGTTGGTGACGTTTTATAATAGATAATTTAAAGGGAAAAGTTTTTGGTATATTTATTTATTTTATACATGGGAATGTTCATCCTTGGAAAGGGTATATACTTTTTCGCGACCAAGTAATTTCATATATTGCTTTTTACCGAGTTTAAAGATTCACAAAATTTTCCTGCATTTTCGTGCAAATTTTTCTAATTTATATGAAAAAAGCAGTGTACATGGGTAAAGTCAAGAGTGTGTGCAATGCAATTTTTGTGCAATTCTGGGATGTTTTTTTAAGTAAAAAATAAGTCGATGTGTACATGGTTACTGTGTATGTGCGATTCTGAAAAACACGGCAAGGAGTTTGCGATTCTGCACTTTTTCCCAATTTTGCAGTTAATATTTGTCATGATTAAGCAGGTTTGTTCCATAAAATTTCTAGCATAAGTGTAATTCGGCTAGCAGATTGTTGGAAAAAGTGTTCAGTAAATAAAAAGAAAAGAAACATGTCTTTACTTTGTGAAGACAAAATGGCGCCAAAAAAAAAGTAGAAGGTTGCTGTAGTAGAGTTGGTCGCCAAATTTTCGCCAAAAAATCACTAAGTTACCATAATCCAAAGATCAACCCAAAATAGCTTTTATGTGGCCAGCACAAGTTAATACAGTAGAAAGTCCGTAATCTAGACGTCCATTATCCGGAATGATCTATAATCCGGACCTCAAAACCACAAATTTACGCATGCGCATTTGATGAGCGCGTCCGCTATGCATTTGCGTAAAGCCAGTAACGCGTTTACCCACACGTGCTTTCGATAGTGAAGAGAGTAACAGAGAATGTTATTGAAAACGAAAAAATTTCGATTGACAAGTTAGTCGGTATTCTCGACATAGCAATTACAGGACCTTGAACAGTGGAATTTTGTAACTGAACAAGAAATGTCTGTTTATAGAATTATTAGCACAAAAAATGAAGCAACTTAAACAACTTACATTGAAAGAAATGTTTACTAAAGTAAACAAATAAATATTAAGCTTTTTTTTTTTTTTTTTTTTGTAAATTTTGATACTCTTTAGATCGTAATTGCTCTTTATTTCATAAATTGAGGTTTCATATTTTTTATTGTATAATTTCTGCATGCCATCTTACCACATTCAAATTGATGATCTATAATCCGGAATCACCGAAGTCTCGACGAGTCCAGATTACGGAATTTGCACTGTATGTCATAAATGCATGAGAAATTTTTGGGATGGATTTCTGCTAAAGTTTCCTTAGTAACAAGAGAGCATTGAAAAATTAAATTATGCTTCACCATAACTAAATATCGTCATAAGCATACCACACAAATTTTTAATTATGGTATGCTTTTAACCTTCTGACTGCTCAATTTGTAAACCGAAATCGCTTCCAAAATTGTGGTTTTTTTTTTTTTTTTTTTCCCCTATTTGAAATCTGTATATATTAGAGAATTGAAAAATGCACTTTTTCTTTCTAGAAAATATTATTATATAGATTTTTATCATGAGAAACTAAAGTTGCCAGAAAAACCAATTTCAGATGTTATCACCCCCCAAAAAATTTTCTTAAAAATAAATTTCAGTCGAATTACAGTTAATTTATATTATTGCATAATATAAAAAAGTAAAATGTATAAAATTAAAGAAAAAATAAAGTGCTGAAGGAAAAATACCTTAAAAATGCAGATTAGTATGATAGAGTTCAAAACAGGATTCAAGGCTAAGTCCAACTTCACAGTCTTTGCACAGATTCAATAAATCTAATTATTAATTTAATTAAATAGTCAAGATAATCGCTGAAGGTTTTCTAGCAGCCATTTCTATAAGAAAAAAGTGGCAAAAAGTGAAGTTTGAGCGCTAATCCCACATGCCTTCAAATGCCACAATTTAGTGGAATACTAACGATATCTGTTAGCCAAAACGTAAACTAAACGCCTAATACTGTATATATAATTTATTTCAATGGTTAAACAGGGAAAAAACGGGATGCGCTCCTCAATAAAGGAGGAAAAACATATGCCTGCGAAAATCGCGGGATGAGCAAATTTTGCTACATTTGAGTTGCCCGTGGAAATCGTGGAATGATCAGCCAGAGGGTTAAAGCATCATTAAAAAAGAGTGATAGTAGTAAGCCCTTGTTGATCATGATTTTAGTTTTTGTTAATTTAGAGATAACTTTTCAGTTAAAAAATGAGTTTTAACCTTTGTCTGGTTAATTTTGCAGTTGCTAAGCTTGAAAGCCTTCCATAATTGTATCCTTCTTAAGGTAGCTAACGCTCACCTGCTCACCATATCAGTTAAGTAATTAGCTGGTCTCGAATCTTAGGCAAACTCGCTTCGTTTAAAGTACTAACAATCTCGGCAGCATGCATTCACATAAACAGAATAGGTATGTTCAAATTTCAGTTATTATATTATACATATGGTTGTACAGGGAGGCTTATATGTTGCACAGGCTGCCCAGGGTTTTGAAAATTTGTAGCCCAGTAACTGTAACAAACATTGAAAAATTCTGTATGTTAATGAATAAAGAGCCTATCCATGATTTATATGTGCCTCATAGGTATATACACTGAAATAAATTAAGAGAAACAGGCTTTATAAGAGCGTGGAGTGTAGGACGAATTGCGTTTGCTAGCACACCTTGGCGAATTTCTTGGTGTTATCTTGCAGCAATCAGTTAAATTCACATTGAAAAAGTAAAGGAAAAAGTAAACACCAACATTTAGATGTTGGAATGAGGTGGCGAGTTGTGGGAAGCCTAGAGCCAGGCCAATCGCAAGTCCAGATATGCAGAGAGTTTAATTTAACGCCCAGCGTTGTGTGTAACCTATGGAAACAGCTCCAGGATACTGAAACCATTAAAAGAAAGCCTAGGCAAAGTTGTATAAGAGCCACGAAGGCCAGAGAAGATTGCTATTTGTCCATTGTAACGAGGCGTAACAGAGGGGCTACAG